TCTTTCCCCTCTGTTCCTCCTCTGCCTGCAGTTATGATGAGGTGCCTTTTCTCATGCATGACAATGACCTGAGAAGAACAACCAATATCAGGGAGGTCATGCCAAATGCCTCCTTCAGACCTAGTTCCTTCTTCACTTGGAATTTCTTGTCGACTCTGAATGCAGGCAAATGGTTTGTACAGGTAAGACATATTCCATAGATCTACAGTTCTGCATTGACTCCCTCTTCTGTACAAGGTTGTGTGTTGCTCCTGGAGAGAAAGGCTTTAGATGAAGATAGTCAAGCATACACATAATTTCATTCCATTTCGATAGTAGAACTATAGCATTGGTAGGAGGGCTTTTTCAGTGATGCAGTCAATCTAATTACTGCTTTCTGTAGTCACTGGAAATTCTGTGGTCACTTGTGAACTTACTGTTGTCATTTAGTTCCTTTTTATCTAAGCATTTCATAAACTTTTACAGTGTGCCTACCACATACATTACATTTTCCTCGGCATTTTAAGTAGCTCACAATCATAGATGAGGCAGAATAGGAAACATATTTATTTTCTTTATTATATCATCTTACTATTTAAAAATATTTATTGTATGACTTTTGAGTACTATACACCAGGAATATAGTGGTGAATAAACACACAGCCAGCTTTAATGGAATTCACGGGCTACGATATGAAACAGGCAATTATAATACATTATGATAAATAATGTATTTATGGTGGCCACCATAACTCTAATTTAGTACTAAACTAGAGTTAATTTCAGGTTGCTAATTTCTGTTTCATAACTCACCAAGTTTGTAGTAATTTGTTATAGCAGCTTTTGGAAACTGATACAGTTATCATAATGTCTTTATATTATCTTCAGTTATTTCTATACTTGAACAATTTGCTCTTTTGTCTCATTCATAGGAATAACTCATGACTTTAAATTTTTGAGTCTTTTTAGGGATTTTATATGCCATAATACTACAAGGAAATAACAAGTATAACCTATAAGGGGAAGTATTATTGGGAATTAGACTGCTTTATATAATCAAGTTGAGTCACAATCTTTAAGTATAATTGTGGCAATCCTCCACTGACTGCACTGTCCATCTGTCTGTCTGTGTCTCTCTCTCTCTCTATCTAATCAATAGATAGCAGTTTAACACCTCTTAAGGTGTTGATTAGAAAAATTTTTAACCAAAATTCACTTTAGAAGAATTAATTTCAGATTTGCTAGGAGTTGGCAAGGGTTGATGTGCCCAGCATATTTTCAGATTGTCTACACTAGTAATCGTTTGATAGAGCTGAATTATAGTTAGAGTGGTGGTTGTCTAGGAAATCCTAGGGTTGGGCAAATTGTTGTTTTTAGTAAGAGGAACATGATAGACTAAATAGCAGTGTATAACCTGAAGTCAATAAAACAAAAAGTGTGACCACAAAATAAAGAACAAAAGCATTCAAAGGTGAGTTTGGCATTTATCAGGAGAATCTTTTCTCATTGTTTTTTGATGACAGCTGATCTACTTCATATAGTTGTTTGCTAGTTCCGAGGACCTTGGATCAGCTATTGACTTCTAGTGCTTCTCTGGAGAACCTAGGTTTATGATTTCTAATGGCTGTACCTTTCCAATTATTTTAGATAAATGATATCATTTTAGTTCGGAAACGTGTGTCCAAGACTCAATTATTTCTGCTTTAACTGTTCTACTGGAGTTCAGAGTATCTAATATCATTTTCCACTGATGTTCAAGGGCAGTCTTTCTATGAGCTGTTTTCCAGCTTGTTTCTTGTTAATGTCAGGACTAAGATATCTTGGTTAATCATGTATAGTATTTAGCTGAAAGAGTTTTTATAAATGACTGATGTTAAGTTTGATTGCAAATATTCCCAAAACATGAGGCTTCAAGTGACTAGTTGACAAGGATATCTCTAGGACTTCCTTATGGGGAAGAACACAAAGCATAAGAGAAAATGGGTAATACTTGAGGGCAAGGAATTTTAAAGGTATTTGATAGTTTGGCTGATTTCAGTTTTTATATTTCATGTCTTTTCCCCACTTTTCCGGAGTATGGTGTGTATAAGGATAGCTGATGTTTTAGTAAGGAGCAAAATTTTGCATAAATCAGAATAGATATCCCAGTAAAATGTTTTTCCTATCATAGGATACCTAAGTCAGAATGGCTTAGGTAGAGAACACAAATATATAATAGGTTTTTAAGCCATTTTAAGTTACAGTTGCTATTTAATGGGGAAATGCTTTAGCCCAACCATAAAATAAACACAATTACTAGTACAAATTCATTACCCACAGAGGAAAGAAACTGTACAAAATCTGTTTCAAGATCCTCAAAAGGTCATTTTGGGCAAGGTTCTAATCCATGTCTTATGTTTACAGTTTTTTTTTTTTTTTTTTAGGAATACATTGGTTTCAGATGAGGAAAGAACTGGTTACATCTTATATATTAGAAAAATTGCTCCATTGGTGTTTATTTAATACTGCAGTCATTTTATTTCTACTGTGATGAGTTATGTCATGGAGGATTTGGAAAGTATCTATTTGAGATTAATTGGTGCTATCAGGTGGCCACCATGAATCTGGCAACCTGATTAGTTCTAGTCTTTCTTTTCAGAATTGGGGGCCACATTTCGTGTATTAATGCTACAATTTTTGAACTCCATGGATTGGTCTTTCTTATCTATTTTATACCCTTGACTAAGGAATTTAGTCAGAGCATTGTGTTTAGTGTGATAATTTGCTAAACCATTTCCACTAATGTCTCTTTCACTCTGGACCTCTACCTGTAGGGCAGCAATTTATTTGGAAACCTGAAACAGTTAAAAACCTCTTTTTTCACAATAGATTTCCAAGTTGTGAATTACTTTAAAAGAAAACAAGCAATCAATGTATATAGGTACCGTTTCGTTTTTAACAATCTCACATATCCTAGTGAGAGCAATATTTTGGTGACTTGAGGCAATTTGATATCTGGTAATGGATTTGAAGTTACATAAGAGAATCTAGAAAAATTATTGTGTAATCAGCCTGTTACTTTTTTTAATTTTTAAAATGAAACCTATCAATAAACAATATTAAATGAAGATTTGGTATAGGAGCATCCAAAAGAACCATTCCAGGCATGGACAGTTCTGTAATTACAGAAATAATGAGATTCTCCTTCACCAGTAAGGATAGTACAGTCGCTATATTAAAAGCGCTACAGAGGAGGGGCAAATGGCATGCATGATAAAGCCTTTGTTCATCCCTCTTGCGACCAAATCAAAGTTGTGACAGAAACTTGGAGCAAACAGCAAGGAAACTCACCTGGGATCTAGATGAACAACTAGGGAGAGAAAAAAATTAATCAATTTGCAACAGTAGAAGGTAGGAGGGGGTGAAGAGACGAAGCTGCCCAGTCCCGCGTGGCTGAGTGGGACACAGGCTGTGGCAGCTGCAGACGCCTCTTAAAGGGGCCGTGTCCACGAGCGAACTTTTACAGTGATGATCTGCTCGCTCTGAGTTCCAGAACCCGGTTGGCTGCTCGGGGTCACCAGGGACTTACAGGGTGACACTGAGTTGTTGGAGTGAGGGCCAAAGTGAGGATCTCTCCCAGACAGAAGTGCCAGCAGTATCCATTGTTTCTCTGTTGAGCCTTCCCTCCTCCCAGTATGTGCATCCAGTGCTGCCATAGCTGAGATGTCATCAAACTGGATAGCAGAGATTTCTCCGCCTAGAGGATTCCCTGAAACTCAGCCTGCCCCTACTCAGGGCTCTACCCGATCCACTTGGTAAGTCAGGTGCTCCTTGCTGAGTAGAGCCAAGACTCACACTGGTGGCAGCTGACCTCCGTATCTGTTATGGTTTCTTGAGGCAACTATAAGCACAGCATCTGTGGATTGCTTGCTGAATCTTAACAGGAGGCCCCAGAGAGGAACAGGCCGGGGCTAAACTTGCCTGCAGCTGAACCCCTCTCACAACTGTGCCACTGGACACCTACTACACAAAGAGATACTAATAAGACTAGGAGACTTAGGAGCTTTGCTCAGTACATAGAAACAGTCGTAAAAAGGCAGCCAAAATGAGAAGACAAAGAAGCAGAATCCATATGAAAGTACAGAACATAGATCAAGGAAAAGTGGAGTCAAGCAATCTAACGGATAGAGTTGAAAACACTGATAATAAAGATGCTCAGTGAACTTAGGGGAGGAGTAGATGAATTCAGTGAGAACTTGAACAAAGAGATAAAAAACATAAAAATGGAAATTATAAAAGGGAACCAGTCAGAAATAAAGAACACATTATCTGAGATGAAGAGTATATTAGATGGAATAAACAGTGGATGAAGAAGACGATCAAACCACCATTAGAGAGAGAGGATGAGGAAGCCAAGGACATTCAATTAGAATGGTAAGAAAAAGCCAAACTATAATAATAATTTAAGGAGCCTATGGGACACTATTAAATGTAAAATATCTGTGTCATAGGGGAACCTGAAGGAAAACAAGATGTCGAAGAACTATTTGAAGAAATAATGATGGAAAACTACCCTCACCTAGTGAAGGAAATAGATATACAACTTTAGGTAGCTCAGAGAGTCCCAAGAAAGAGGACCCCAAAGAGGCCTACATCAAGACACATCGTAACTAAAATGCCAACAGTTTAATATAAAGAGAGGATCTTTAAAGCAGTAAGAGAAAAGCAGTTATCTACAAGGGAGCACCCATAAGACTAGCAGCTGATTTCTCAAAAGAAACCATGCAGGGCAGAAGGACTTGGCACAAAATATTTGATGTGGTGAAAATGTAGGATCTACAACTAAGAATACTTTATTCAGCAAAGTTATCATTTAGAGTTGAAGAACAGATAAAGAGCTTCCCAGACAAAAATAAGCTAAAGGAATTTATCACCACCAGCCCAGTATTACAGGAAATGTTGGAGAGACTTCTTTAAGAAGAAAAAACATGTATCAAAAACAGTAATAAAGAATGTTAATAACTACAGAAGTACCTCAAATGGAAAAGAATTAAGTGCTCCAACCAAAGGTAGAGTGGTCTGTATGGATAAGAAAACAAGACCACTACATATGCTGTCTACAAGATTTTCACTTCAGATTAAAAGACACACACGGAGACTAAAAGAAAGGGGATGGAAAAAGTTATTGCCTTGATGGACCTAGGGGGTATTGCACTGAATGAAA